TGGTTAATGAATTCGAAATGCTAATGATTGAATAACTAAAACAAACATCATTTTGTTGCACTTATCAAGCAGTATAGATGTACAAACTGAAATTACTTTTCATAAGGTGGTTTTGTTTACTTTACAATGCACATGACTATTCAAAACAATAATCGAGAACAAATTATTTCTAGCGATGAAGGGATTAACAAAAGCACAGCATACGAAGATTTCGGTTGATTGCCTTCTTTTAGATTCACGCATATCTGGGTTCATATCGTCTTCGATTCTGATGATATCAGTGTTAGAGATTCCTTGATTTTGACTAAGATCGATTTATCTAGTCGTACTGTGTCTATTTGTTTCAATAAATCTACATTGTGTTTATTACATCTTGGAGAAGACAACTTAGTGCGAAACCTAGATCCAGGGGTTATCACCAACTGTCTTGACTCATCTAACTTCCTCACAAATGTGTTTTTAGGATTAGATACAATAGTAAACACACTTGATATTTTGAAAATGATGATAATTCATTTCAATACGGGATTATACAATATTTGAGAACTCATTGATCAATGAATTTGGACCAATACCATGTTTGTCTAGTTTATTAGTGTTGATCAAATTCTGTTTATTATATGGCAATTTGGCCACGATTTTATGTGATGCAACATAGCATACGCCTTTTCCAGACATGAGATGGTTAGAGGTAATTGATGCAAAACACTGGACGTAGGTTCCGTGCTACTATCATTCCCTTGAAAGGTGTGCTTAAAATCTCGAGAGAACTATGGGACTGATTAGCTCGAATTAAATCAGAATGAAAGAGTTACTCCACTACAGATTACATGTTTACCGTACTGATGAAATTTAACTAGGATGAAATCCCAGTTTGGAGTCTCGTACTAACTACTTCCAACCACCTTGACATATATATATATATATATATATATATATATATATATATAGAGAGAGAGAGAGAGAGAGAGAGAGAGGGAGGGAGAGAGAGATAGTTATCTCCTATTTCCGAAAGATATTAAGATACAAAGCCTATATTCGCTTCAACAATTTTTAAATTGCTCACAAAATTCATAAAGTTTGATTTTACATTTCCTCATTTGACCTAAATCGATTATGAAAGAAACTTCCGTCACAATTTGCTGTTTTAAGCACTCTAAATGTGACGAGATTTAGATCAGTTAGTGTTATGCATCCATATTAACAGAATATCACATTACGTTCCACTATCAATGCTGACTAAATTTTTCTGAATATTAAAGCATTTTGTGAAAGTGTTTAGGTTGAAAAATGGAGCTTCAGATGGCAAGTCGAAATGTATTATTGTTTACGACAGAAATGAATAGAGAAATGTCTAACTAATGGCATTTACATGCATTACTCTATAGAACATTATTCATATTACAGATTGTACTTTTCACTAACACTGAATCCATGAGTCCATGAGTTCATGGATTCCTAAAAAAAAGTAGTTTAAAATAATATTCAATTTTAATTTAAAAGTACAGATACCTTTATAATTAGGAAGTTTTACTTTAAGCTATTGTATTTTATATAATATGTGAACAACAAATAAATAGTATCATATTTTCACTAGAGTGCAAAAACACTTTACAGGTCATGCAATTTCTGTGTTTCACATCAACAGTACTAATTCGCAATCATTTTACTATGATTATGCTATTGTTGCTTTGGTTTATATGCGGATTAACGAAACGCATACCAAATATGCAACAAGTTTATTTTCTTACAATAATAATAATAAAAATAATGTTTGAATAAGATTCGGATGTTTCGGTTTTACAAAATGAATGTGGCTGGAAAAATTCAAACATTGTGAATAAACTTCAAATATTATTGATCGAATTAACACTGCTAAAAATAAGAGGACATAGTGTGTTGTCTTACTGCGTAAACAGCTGAACAGTTTTTTATCAATATTTCTGGTAAACAAAAGAGTTCATTGACAGAAAATCACTTAGCTGCATAACTTTGACTACTGTCAACTTATACAGATGAGTGGAATGAATAACTAGCAAGAACAGCAAATTAATATACATATTAGTGGTAATAATGCTAGTAAGACAATAACCAATGAGATGTAGTAGAACAATCTCTGAGGCCAAACGTATTATAACTTCATATTAATATCTAAAACCGTCGAAGATTTGCCTAAAGGGCTTTTATCATAATATCGCTACAATAAAAGCTTGGTGTATCACAAATTCATTTCAGCTGGAAATGCATACCTCAACTTAAGCCATGGTAATTGACTTGACATCCAAATTTTTGGCTGGTCAATAACAACAAGATCCAAACAAGAACGAAGCAGTTGTTCAGTGTTAGATGCTTTTCGAGATACAAAGTGTCAGAACAAGATCATCCAGAATATTTCTTGATGTAGTGAAAATATATGACACAGCTTACAAAATATTTTATGCTTACTTAAAACAATTTCTAAGTCACAAACAATTTAAAGCATGAAACTACTTTTAAATAGTATAATACTTCAGATATAAATTTATACAATGATTGAATCAGTTTAAAATAAAGTCTTTTCATGGCAAATGATGTGGATTATACTGTTATCTCTGAAAAAAAATGAAGTGTTTTCGTTCATACGATGGTATTTTTCCGTTTGTCATTGCCGAGTAAAATTCATGAACAACGTAATACACGTTTTTAGCAGATAGGGATAGTTAATAACTGTGGAATCCAGGCCATACGTTTTGCCCCACTCGGGACTCGTCAACTTGATGAACCTGTATTTCAGAGTTGATGTTACTGGGTGATTGATTGTTGATGGCACTGGGTTCGAGACTTGAAGTGAGCATCAACTCTGAGATGTCAGTTCATCAGGTTAGCAAGTCCCAAATAGGACAAAACGCGCATCCTGGATTCTACTGCCAACTACTATCCACCTCTGCTAATAATGCTTGTAATCTAAAAGTCACTATCCAGGCAAACTGCACAGAATGTACGTATACCGAAAGAAACTGATCACCTGCAGTCCTAAACATCAATGGGGATATTCAAACAACCAATACAAATAACTCAATATAATACGTGGATATAATTTAAGGAATAAATTCATACGTTAAAATTCGATACGTCTTCCTGCTATTCTGTTAAAAATCGTGTTGCTTTGTGTTTGTCTATGTACCAATCGTAATATGATCCTTAATGACTGATATTATGTAAACAGTTTAAATTTCATTATTAGTTTAATTTTCAGTGTCTAAATTCAAAAGTATTGTCTACTTGAATTTCCTTTAAAAAAATCACATGAAATTGTGCACAGTAGTTCAGGTTCATCATAGATATTATTATTATTGTTACTTTTGTTTTTCGAATTGTGGAACATTTTTGTTTCAGTAAAAAGAATGTAACCAAACAAATACATTCCAATATAAATGGATATCATGTTAACAGTAAAAATATAGATGAGCCATTCGTCAATAGATCAGTTGATTAAATGATTAAGACAATAGTTAATTTAAAACTTACAGTAAATTTTGTTGTCTTTGTTAGTGATGTATATTCACTTAATAACTACGGAATATAGTTTTAAATGATATGGTGATTGGGGAAAGCGCTTTATGATTCAGAAAAGAATTTTGAAAAACCTTTATTGTTAAAACCATTGTAGAAAAGGCTAAATCAACACTGTGCAAAATACATGCAACTTAAGTTTTTGAAATTATTAAGCATTTATGTATAATTTATAATTGGGATTATTTTTAAAGGGTGAAAATTTCATTATCCATCTATTTAAATCACATGAAACTTGTTACAAATGCCATTACTATTAGACGAAAAGGATTCATATAAAATCTCCAAATGTTTCGATTACAAAACAGTCAGTTATATGTCACAGGTTTTTTCAGAATTTATGACTTTAAGATCAACGAGAAATAGTGAATGAAATATATTCTGTATTGGAAATGTTTTCAGTTTAAATAAGTAGACTTTGAAGAAAAATAATTTTTTTAAAATAACCTGAGGAAAGGTTGATCGATACGTTTGGGACACTTTATCAGTGAACACTTACATTCTCACATAGATCTTTTAATGGGCCTAGTGTCGTTACACAAATCAGTCATAATGTTAGTATGGTTTATCAGTGCTCCAAATTCAGCCAGCTTGAAGAATGTCACAGTCTTCATTCAGTGATATCTAAGTGATTACTACCTTGTAATTTAATCGAGCTCACCGACAACTATCCCTCAATACAATCTAGATCAAATTCTATCACCATCAACTGTACAACTATGATTATACTAGGTGACTGAATAAGGCATACGTTTTATACTATCAAGCTCATTTCTGCCTAGCTTTTGGCAGTGAAAGCTCTTAAATTTGTAGGAAACAGCTGTCCAGTTTTCAATGATTTCCCAATTGATATCATTTCGTAATGATATCATAACCAAGATCCAAAGTATTTCTTTACAAAGAACCAGGAATGATTTACTTTTCATAAAACAAACCTTACTATGTTAAATTATAGTTTCTTTCTAGTTAGTGTGACTGTTTTTGATCAACTCCTCACTAAAATTTTGTCAATCTTTTTAATTCCATCGCATACAAAAATTCAAGTCGTTATGTCAGCGATGATAAATCAATCAACCGATCTGTGTATTATTGAGATTATTGCATTTTCTTTTCGAACAAATAATTTACGCAACATAATAAATACTGTGTGTATCTCACAATAGACTTGATATCCACCCACTTCTCTTCATAACTCACTCTCTCTCTCTCTCTCTCCTCTAACATCAAATAATCGATTTGGATCGAATCATTGGTTACATGTTTTAGTTTTGTTATTTCGCATTACTTCGAGATTTAGCAAACACTTCACACTGTTTATGTGATTGGTCATTGAGAAATATTAACCAAAAAATAAGGCGACCACATTTAAATCTAAAGTATTGATATATATATATATATATATATATCAATATTCGTGCATATTGATTGAATAATTTAAAATTGGTTGTTCAGAGTGTATGGTTTTAAATCACTAACATGTTCATTGTATCTTGAAACTTTGAACATTCAGTAAGTCACGGATATAAAATTTCAATTTTTTAGTTATTTTTTTTCTAAATCAGAAAAAAAAATACGCATATAACTTGAATAAAAATCCTTACTTGTATAATTGAATTAAATACATACATATACACAAATGGACTGGTATGATTTAAAGCATAATCTGATTCTAGATAGATAATTTATTGAATTACAATGAATAAACGACCATTGAATACAATTACTCCACTATTGTGTATTACAATACGCTTAGAAAATTATGTGGAATTACGTATTCATGATGAATATACTACACCAATATTTCAGTATCGTTTTGAACAACATTTTGCTAATCCATGGAAAGAACCAAAAAAATCCATTAAAACTAAACTAATTCTTACTTATACTTCATTAATTTTAAAAAATGCCTCATGGTGGCCATATCGTGTTGAACATTCAATAAAATATAAATCTGTACAAAAATTGATTACATTCAATCAAGGACAACTAAGATTTGCCATAGGATTATATGATGAAGATTATGCTGAGAAAGAATTTGTTGTTATGTCAATCAAAAATGCCTACGATATGGAAAGATTAATTCAACTGATAGATTCACAATTATTAATATGGAAATATGCATTGAACAAAGAAACTGACTATTCAATTAGACCAGATAAAAAACAGTTGATGATCGGTTACAAAGAATCAACACCTTTAAATAAAATATCCAAAAGACGAGGTCTAATTGGCAAAAGTCAAAATGCTATCATTAAAAATGATGCAGCTATGTTGAATTCACTAGCGAATAATACTTCTTCAAATCAATCTAATGTAAAATTAACTAATAATCCTCATAGAACATTAGAAATAGATCAAAATCATTCTCGACGTTATTCACAACAAACTAATCAAGATTATAATGAATACAAGCCAACATTACAAATCTACACTAATGTAGACAGTAATGATTCATTTAATCATAGAAGACTAATTGAACCAGTTCAAAGTACTTCATATAGTTCTAGATATGACACTGAACGACAGAAAAAGCAATTGAGAAAAGAAAAAGAAAGAACTAGAAAAATCAAGAATCAACAATGTCAAACAGATAATGTTTATATTGAAAATAATACAAAATCATGGGAAGTTGATATTAAACATGTACGTTATGACCCTATTCAAGGAAATATCATCGATGATAATGGTTCAGTTTATTTATATACTGCTCATGAAATTGACTAAACTATGTCAGTTAAATTTTTTTTATTATCGATTGATTTATTGAGATTAAATATTGGTTCTATTATTTATTATTTATTATTATTATTATTATTATTATTATTTAATTTTTCAGTGTAATAAATGAAAATAATGATCCATTCATTTTTATTTTTATATTAACATGCTATTATTTTTTTGGAAAAAAAATATTTAGCTTTAATTCGTACACATTAGAGAGTTGTTTCAGTACAGTCAAGTGAAAATATTGTATGTGTTGTTGAATATACTTGATTAGAATAACTACTGAGAAGTTTTCTACATTCATAAATAATTTTTAATGGAAAATGCATCATATGAGTAAAATTTTGTTATATCACATTAATTAGCCCAAGATACTTATGAGAATGTATGTATGACAACGGTAACGATTATCTTGTGAATAATTGAAGTATGCATTGTTTGAACATCTATTTTTTAAGATATACTCATAAATTAGATGAGTACTTATTTCTTCGCCTACTTGGGTTGTTCGAACTTAAGCAAAATATCGATTTCAGTGGGATAAACTAAGTGGTTTATCAGTTCAGATGATTGATTATAGTTGAGAAGCTGGATCGAAACTTCCAGTTAGTCTTATGACCAGACATTATCATATTGTATTATAATCTACAACTTAACCTATTTATATTTATTGGGGAAGTTAGAATCCCATATTAAAATGTTGGATATAAATAGTAATTTTTGAATAAAAACCACTCAAACGTTTAAACTGTTGGATTTCAGTTGATTATTCGAGATAGCCTTGAAATAGAAAACGGGGATCTTGGTGGACTACACTTGTGTGTAAATGTAAGGTACTGGTGACCTAAATAGGATCAAAATTGCTAGGACAATAGAAAATTCAAGTCCTGAATATCAAATATGATAAAATATTAGTTAACGTTTAATTTGTATCTTCACTTTTCACGAGTAGGGTAAACAGTCCTGGATCCGATTCCTACACGCAAACTCATGGATAGGCACTTCTGAAGAGTCACATGCTATAATAGTGCCCACAAGTGCTTCTAGATTTCCAATAGTAGTCTGTTTAAGATCAATTCAAAATTCAAAATGCAAACTGAAAGCTTCTTACAAATCTTCCATACTAAATTTCATTAATTGTATTTTCATAAGGAAAAAGCTGTAGAAAGTTAGTGAGAAGAATTGTATCACTTACTATTTGTTTACCTAGGAATACTGTCTCTTTGATAATAATTAAATTGACGTTCAGTTTTTTTTACATCCCCCAATTCATAAAGTTTATTATTTAACTTATCGAATAAAGAGAACTAGACAATTTTAGACTGAAAAATAAAATGTTATACAAGTCAATGAAACTGACTGATATTTGAAATCAAAATTAGTCGACTTTTAACCAAAAGAATGAATCAATCTATAAATGTAGTTTAGTAAACCACTAAATGTGCCAGGCAGTTTCTAAATATCATCTCTCTTCAGATATAAAGCATCAAGTGTGGAACTCATGTGTATTCAAGACGTGAATACAGTACAATTTTCGTTTTCAAGTCACTAACTGGCATGATGGTAAATAGATTTATGATCAAGGTTTAGAATGACTGTTCAGTCCGTTTATGCTCAAATCAACAATGTCATGACATAACGACCAAATACTAAACTAAATATAAAAGAGTTAATTTGCAAGCAAAAATCAATATTGTACTCAGATGTATGTATGTATGTGTAGTATACGCCCGGATTGAAATCTGGTCATTTTAAGCGAGAATTATTGATTAATCATTTCACAAATTATTCTTGAAATCTTATCTACACAAGAAGCAAGACAGAAATCCTGTTCACAAACGTTGGATTATGATTTTCACAGTAATTTTATGCCTTTTTCATGGCAAACAATTTGAGGTACATACCCCTCTGAATGACTTATCAGTGATTCTCTGAACACACATCATTCCAAACATCACAATGTTTGCTCTAATTGCTCTAATTTCAGTATTACCACATTAATATTTCTTTCTTGACAATGATTTTTTGAATAGTTTTGCCAATTTTTATGCCAAAATCTTAATATTTAACTTGATTATAATGGACATGGGGAGATAAGCATTTACTTTATGCTCATTATTAACAGTAACTGATTCGACACGATGGTCTAAAGTACTTAACATTATATAGTTAAACATAACTTGTACAAAGGTTTTATGAAGTGATTTGTCTGTATTTAGGCCGACTGTAGACTTTGATATGAATATTTTTTTAACTTAAGATTAATCATGCACTTCATGCTACTCGGACTTATATGCTCAAAAGCTATTTGTTAATGCTTTTTAAGTTAACAGTTTCTAGAATGATGCCGTGATTAACAATTTTTTTATTGTTTTGTGTAATTGATGAACATTTATCAATAAAATATGAATTGATGAATATTATCATACCATAATAATTACCAATTACAAAGCGATAAACATACATAGTGTAGTGAGAAGATAATGTTTTTCATAACTACTCGAAAAAAGAATGTATTACATTTAGAACAATTTGATCATATTTTGGGGCAGAGTTTTTGGAGGTTTGTGTTTTCACACATTTGAAATCATCAATCAATCATTGTTAGACCACCATTAGAAACTTGGAAGCACTGGACGGCCGTTTCGTCCTGGTATGGGACTCATCAGCAGTGTGAACCCACGACTCCTGCACCTCCCAGGATTCGAACCCAGGACCTTCGGTATTGTGCTCGAACGCCTAACCATCGGACCACTGGGCCGGCATCCAACGGTCATATGCTATTTTTGTTAATAGATATTCTCATACGATAAATACAAGGATCAAACAAGTAGATAAACAGAAGGATAATGAAGTGAAACAGAACTACTTACAGCACTTTCGATAATGAAAGTTTAAACAGGTTTGTTGTTGGTAAAAACTTTTTTGAATACAAAAGTGACGAGCGCCACAACAAATCAGGATATTGAACTTTGATCTCTCCCGCAAAACACTATGAAGATTGTCTTCAAATAGATTTGATAAATCAATCCTGCTTGTGTTTAGCCAATCAAGAAAATGGATATTTATTCTCTGCCCGTTGGAATTTCTTCGTTTTCAAAAAACATTCAGGGAAGTATTCAACTATCCTTATTTCGATATTCCGACTAATCCTTTGTGTGCTGTGGGGATCATATGTGACAAAATTGCCTATATCATGCTCAGGTGTCTGGTGAAGCATGAATTTTGCTGTTTTTCAATTATTCTAAAGGATTTTTTTTTGTAATCGACATTCTTAACCGCATATTGACTCTCGTATTTTAATACAAAAGGACTGAACTAACTTAAGAATGATATAGTTATGTACTTATACTATTTAGTGATATCAAAGTAATTACCCAGAATATTATGCGGCTGTACCATCGATTTACACATTAAAATAAATGTCTGTTCCAGATTACTGTTTCATGTAACACCTTCGGCATTGTATTATCCAACACCTTTTTTCAAAATGCAATTTCCTGTACGAAATAAAGCTTTCATGAAACCTTAAGGCTATGAAAATTCAGTCACTGTTCTCATTCACCCAAATTTTCTGCAGATTTCAATTATCCGTATATCTAAGAACATTGTGAACTGTTTACTATACATGGAATAAAAAAGCTAGTGCGGATTTAAATCAAATTTAATTTCTTTAATAAGTTAATATTGTCAAATAAAAGTCGAAATTTTATTATTGTCTTCTAGAACTGATAGCTGAATCCTCAAATCTAAGAATATAGCACATTTAGAAGACAACTAGTTACAGAATAAATATTCTGCCTCATTTATCCAGAAGGTCAAATGTCGTTATTGAAACTTATTTTCGGGAATAATCTTATTACACAACCATCATGATTATACTGACAATAAATTATACCACACATTATCTAAACTATGAAGATAGTCAAGCTAGGTGAAATACTTATGGGCCATGATTATCAACAATAAAGAACCTCTGCTGGAAATATGTTTAGTGATTTACTTATTATTTTATGAATTTATTCATATGTCAAATTTGTTTTTTAGGAAAGTTAGATTAATTGATCTTTATGTCAAATAATCGCTTGATAAATAAGCAACCTTCAACCAATCAGTAACATGTAATAGTTGACCCGATAAACATAATTTCTAACACGATAATGATTTACATGAATTTGTTTAATTAATTATTCTGCATATATTAACATTTCTAAGTCTAAGTGATTGTACGAAGAAAAAATGTACAAATTGAACAGTCATGTGCTTAAAACTGAAATTCAATAGTCAATATAACGAAACTTTCCAGGAACTTAAACTGTTTATGAAAAACTGATTGATTTCCGTATTGGCAATTTTAACCAGTTATTCAAGATTATTCGGCAACAATTAAAAACTTATGGTTACACTTCATGAGATATTTTTCTATAACGTATAGTTGTTATATATTGGTTACAAGAACCATCGTTCTCCATTATTTTCCTAGTTAAAGTTACAGTTACTGGTCAGTAAGCAAAGTGACTTCAATGTTGCATGCAATATATCCGATCTTAGGTGGTTGAAAATAATCGAGAATAATTCTCATATTTAGATCTCATGTTTGTTTTCATCCACGTGAGATATATCTGTAATCTAGTGGTCATATCATCAGCTGATCAATGAAATTTGACTGACATTAATATAACAGATAAATATGATGTTGATTACTACTTAATAACTCATCACTTTTTAAATACCTCAATCACACATGAAGTCAGTTCCGGGTCAAATGGATCACTGCTAGTATCTCCCACTGTAATATTCAACAATATGGGTTTAAATTCTACAAAGTGTATCAATTGCTTCCAGATTATAAATAAAGCGTACTGAAAACTTAAAACTATTTCACAATGTAGGTTTTAAGTTCACTACTTACGCCTGTCACGCCTAATGGAGCATAGGCCGCTGACCAGTGAGTAGGTTGGGGAACACTAGTCGATCTAAGTTCCCTACTAGGTAAAATTTTCACTAAGTAGTGCAATTCAGATCAAAATGACATTTAAATGGATAAAGTATGTTCAGTACCGAAGACTAGTAGAATTTGTATTGATAGCCCTCTTAGTTAGTTGACAAAACATTCTAAAACAGAACATATTCAATATCATTTTTCAAACTTTACTTTTCAAAACATTCTTTGTTTTTCTCATATAGGACATAATTTGTTGTAAGTGTAAGTAAATAATGATAATTTAATAAAGGGTTCGGTCAAAGAAAAAGTGATCAGTTCCATTGAAAGAAACAAATAGTTATTCAAGAAAAAAACATGTAACAATGTGAAAAAGAATGACAACAAGAGGAAGAGAATAAAATTGGCGAAAGAGCATGGTAAAACCAAACTGACTACATAGATGAGAAAAAAAATTAAATTTGACTTGTTTTTTTTAAACTGGCCAAAAATAGCACATATAAGAAAGTGAGATTATTATTATTATTGTTGAAGAAGAATGAATAGGATAGGATAAGATAATCAGAAATAACAAGTATTGTTATCATTATTATTAATATCAATTTGTTTCGTGTATAATATGTAGGAAGAGAACAATGAAGAGATTTAGAATTGTGTCAATAAATAAATCTGCTCGTAGGCTAAGTGATTCATTAAGAAAAATGTTCAAAGAGAATTGAAATAACACTTGAAATGATCACATTAGTTGTTGTTCACATTTATATTCTTATTCTTATCTGTCGTAAAGCAAAAAAAGGGTTTGATGATTGTGAAAAATCGTAAGATTTTACATAAACAGTTTTCTTCTCTTTACTTACAACGAAGCCTTTTTTTCAAAAACAACACGTATAATGATGATTTCTCCAAATGTGAATACATTTTTTGGGATGAATTTGTGTGAATCGTTATCAATAGAACAGGGCAAACAAATGAGATACGAAAGAAAATAATATTTGAAAAGAGGTAATTTGATAAATGAGCACAAGTATGTGTACGTACATACAATTTAGAATAAAATAACTTTCTGTTTTAGTTTTTTCTGCGATCAAACGATTTATTCGGACAGCGTAAAGTCTTAAATTGAGAAAGTCCATTTAATAAGCATTATGAAAATCGTTTTACTACTAGTAAAAGGTTTTTTGTGAAGAAGACAGTTTAAGTATTGTTGATTTGTTTTTCTTTATCCATATATAAAACAGTGAAATTATCATGAATACTTTTGATAAATAAATGATCAGTAAAAAGCAGATTTTTTGTTAATTGATCAAAGGAAATAGGTTACTGTTCAATTCCAGTAAAAGAATATTCATCGCAATGAACAGTACAAAGGACTCAACGTACGCACACATCTATACAAAAAAGAAATCATTCTACTAAGCGAATCAATGACTAAACTAAAACAAAACAAAACAAAAAATGGGTGGAAGCAAAAACGAATCTTCTCCAAAAAAAAATCAGTTAAAATGTTTGAATTTTGATCGGATTTAAAAGTGATGATAATGAAGATAAATAGTAATAAATAACAGTATGCACACATGTGTATAATTGTTATTCCTCTCGACTTTTTTTTGCACAAACATCTAAATGATGTTGAAAAATGTCACAACGAAACATGGAGAAAGAAAAAGCGATTAAAAATCAAAAGTTGTAGTAATAATTGTTTAAGTCACAGAATACATAAGTGAGCAGTCAAAAGTTGAATTTCAATTGCATTCCCCTAACTTATCCTATAAGTCTTTTTAAATATTATTATCTCAATCTCATATTACATACAAGTATGTATAGCCATCGAAAATGACTAGAAAATTGTCACATAAACTAAAACGAAACGAAGTGTATCTTTCTTTTTGAGAGTTTTTTTTTCATAGGATATTTTTCGCTGGTTAGAGTTTATAATTACTTCAAAAAATATGTTTCTCTGATTGGCATCATTTTTACACTGATACTTTTGAATGTTTTTGAATGTGTTTGAGAAAAAAAATGGGCAAAAGCATTTCTTGTCAGAATAATCAAGGGAATAAAAGGTTTCTATTCATCACTAATATTTTGAGAAAGTATAAAGTGTCAATGAATGTTGATAATTCATAAAACGTGAGACTTTGTACGCTGATTTGTGCACAAAAGTATTTTCCATTGATAGCTTTTTGAGATAATAAGATTGTCACTAAATGGTAGTTGAAGTCGTTGGTCATGATTCGCGTTAGGACAAGTAAGTGTTCCTGTACAAAAAATATGTAATTTTTAAATCGCTTCAACTGAATTAATATCGTTCCTCAATAAAGGATGGTAATACTTGTAGGTAAAATTTACATACAAATGAGTTACCATCAACATCTTTGATTTCATACTGAGTAAATTCCAGAATCTTTCAATGTTGTTCACTGATGGAAGAATGCACATACCTTGTCTGAGCAGATACATCAAAATCAAAATACTTAGAATCCAACGAGTATTGTTGCGAAACCAAGAAACTGAAATTTTGTAAAAAAAGGTTGAAAGATAATCAGTTCGACCAGATTTTTATACTTTTTTTAAAGTTAAAAAACAATACAATTATCAAATCATACATTGCAAAGGCGAATCGTTAATGAAGTCCATTAGGCAAAGAACTGAAATTCAATATAATATGAACCATTTCGTTCATGTCAATGAGCAAAGGTGTTTTTTTTCAGTTACTAGGTCTTCAATTACAATGGTTTCGATATAAATTCAGTTTATTCGTTAGAGGATTTCGGAAAAGAGATGTGTTCCGTTTAAAAGTTAATATCAATATGTGAGATAATATGGAAGGGGAAATTCGCAGCTGATTTTAGCAGAGTCCTTTTCTCCGAACTGAGTGGTTTGACCATGAAGCTTTCTTCCGTTTGAATAACATCGTTAGCACGAACTTCAAGACAGAACAAGCTGTCAATCATATAAGTAGCAATCCAAACAACTCACTGCCTACCTGAAGTTTGTTATTGGTTTATACTGTTCAAAAAACAATTAATACTTCATGATCAAAACATTCGGTGCACTGAACGAAAGTTCACTAGAAACAGAGAAGTTATTTCATCACTGGGAGATACTGGACTCATGAGCACAGTCCTACACAAGATTGAGATAATGATCATAGAGCCTCAATTCGTGTAAGATGCCTCTTTCGCTTATTTTGATGAACTAATAATCACAAATTATGATCCATAAAATAGATCACTGTTGAATGATCAGTAATTAATGACGACTTTAAACTAAAACGATTACCTTGAATCATCAAGCTTAGAACTAACTGTTTATTTTATGAAGTAATTCCTGAAAATCTTCTGAACAATTATATCTCAATCATTTTCCCGATGAATAATAAAAAGTTAGATACAAGATACAAAAATTGACGGTTGCATTTGTAAGCAGATTAACTGATCATCAAACAAACAATTCACAACTCAAATAATATAGCTTCCTTCTAGATTGCAACTGGACGTGTGCACCAAAAACTTTGTTGAACTAAGTACCCTTGATTGTGAAACTTTCTAATGATGAGTTACTTCTAACCCAAAATTTCTAAAGCAGATAGGAATGGAAATAATACTAAATAAATCCTGAAAAATACTCATAAATTCCAAATTATTTTCACATCAACTTTTTCCCTCTATCTACCGATATTCTTACTCACCTTCGTTAACTGGTGAATTACCAAAGGAACATTTAAAAGTAACGGTTTCATTCTCCTCAGCACTACGTGATTGTGGGAAAGTTAGGAATTTTGGTCCTTTCATCTCTTCATTTTCAGCTGTAAGAAAATAAAAAAAGGAATATTTTCACAACATTCATACAAAACTAATACCCAACATTGATTATTGCATTTCTCTGTACTCGTAAATCCCTGAGTTATAGAGAATTCTAGCAAATGACTTTTGTGAAAAATATGTTAGTATTATTACTGACAAGACGATCAATGATGAACAGAATTATTCATTTGACTAGCAATTTTAATTCACTGAAATGTGTATCGGATGTCAACTTAAGAGTTATCACAGGACGTTTCAAAGCCTTTATTATCTTCATAAAGTTAAGCAACTATGATAATTTGTTAGAGATAAAGTGAACAAGCATGATTTGTTTAGCGTAAATGCTGATATTCTTTCGTTTTCCAGTTTAAATAATGCTGAAGGTGATTTTCGTCATGAACTGAAATCAGCTGAAGAGGTATAAAAACCAGGTCACTGGTTAGCTGTTCAGTTTCTGTTCGAACGCCTCCAGGAGCGCACAAATATAAAATCTCATAAGAACATACACTACAGATCAGCAGGTTTCAAGGTAAGATTTCAACTATTAAATGAAACCTCACGAGTTCAAAAAAGCAACTCGTTAAAACACTTAAAAAGGAAAACATTGAAATATATAACTAACCTTCAACAACAAGGAATGCTACAGTCGATGCTTTACCCATTGAACTTGTTGCGCGACATTCATAAGTACCAGTATCTTCGGGTAATAGAGCTTGTAATTCAAGCTTTATAATTTCGTTATCTTGAGAAAATATATGTCCAGCTTGAATAGGACCATCATTATAATACCATTCGGCTTCTGGAATAGGATCCCCTGATACCGAACACTCTAAACATACCGTATCTCCATCTTTAACAGTTTGACTAATTGGATGGATAGTGAATGATGGTGCTAATCCAACAGCTTTAGGTATGATGCCTCCATCAGTGCCGTTTATTACTTGGTCAACATCTTGAGTAGAAAATTCATCTGACATTTCCTCATCAATTTCATCTATCATTCCGTTCAATGAATTAACTGGAGCTATATGTGCAGTAAAAAGGAAAACAATTTTTCATCAAGAGTAATATTAAAATGTGATTTAAATGACAGTGAAATACATGTTTGGAATTTAAGCGATGTTTATTTGTCTGTATTATATTTCATTCATCATAAACATAAAGGAATGACTGGAAATTAGTTTAAACAATTAAACCTAACTGATACACAAATAGTCATCTATATAATCGAAAGGTTATCAGATTTTAAGCAAACAGTTTTATATCATATTGGACTTAATATTCTAACTTAAGGGAAACACAACAATGTACTATTAGTTTGTTGTAACATATGAGATCAGTTGTCTGGAGTTTAGCATAAAATGAACTATGAAATCAATTTCTGAAATTAATGTTTACCTATTGAAGCTAAGCAAAATAAATGACTTTCAAAATGTTCTCCTCCTTGAATAGATCAAACATACCTTCAATTTTAACACTGGTTCGAGTAATAGTTGTTCCAGCTTTCGCTTCATAATCACCTGCATTTGTGAAACTAGATTCAAAAACTTCAAGATAACTAAATTCACCATCTTCAGATGTTGTAATTCTTATATTATCACCTGGAGTAATTTCCTGTAATTCAATGTGAATAATTTACATTTTTAAAAATAGTTACATAATTGACGCATGCTTACCGAACAATCTGTTTGAATATGATAATAAAAACACTGCTCTATTGAAAAAAAATGCATTTTTGTTTAATACCAAATAGTATTACAAAATGGATAACAATTATGGTAATAAATACCTGATATATTTATATCGAATACTATTTGTTGAAAGCATTTTCAAATAACAGATGTTATCCAGTAAAAAAAATGAATCAAAAGTATTCTAGTTTACAAAATATTCTTACCAAAGTACTAAATATTATTTGTCATGAAAATGTATAACAATGAGTTTGAATTTTAGTAACTCAATAGTAACATCGCTTATTCGGCAGTTAGATTACTTCATTCCAGATCTATGATGAAAAGCTAGTTTCCTCAAAGTTGTTCATATGTTTTCCTAATAATTGTTGATAAGCGTGGGACCATGAGTTGATGATTTCAGTCGATTAACAACCGTCATTTTCATTAAAGTATGATTTTCAATGACGTAAATATCAGCCTAAATGATTCTCAGACATCGCCTGATCTATATATTTGCACATTCAATGAGATTTCCTGAGTCAGTGAATGTCAACAAACCATTAAAATGTCCTGTAAGATGAGTATCGCAAAACTAATAAGTGCTTGTGATATAAGAGTAGGTTTATTTTAATTCGTGCTTAACTTCGTCGTAGACGTGCTTTTAGGTACGACACTATGATAATCTGACTCTTCAGGGTTTGACCTTCTACCAGGGGATTCGCTTGTTGACCTAGAATGTGCCGATGACATAATTCTACTTGGTGAAGATGCTGACAGAATGAAGTCTTCTGACTACCTAAAGCAACAATGCAAGCATGTTCAGGATGCGGTTCTCGTCGTAGAAATGAAAAATTTTGATTCAGGATTGGCTTACAACGGGACCTGAATTAGTAATAGGAAGTGAAGTAGCTGAGTGTGTTGACCGCTTCATTTATAGTAACGTGGAGCGCAACAATGCTCTCCATCCAATTATACGAGTGAGAAACATGGCCGGTGAGAGTTGAGGATATTCGTAGGTTGCTGGTTTTCAATCATAAGTGTCTCCGAAGCATTGCTCGTATATCCTGGGACCACTGAGTAAACAATGCTTGTGTTAGGAAAGGAGTACTAGGTAGGGATGGCAGATCAATAGATGAGAATCTGAAACTCAACCAGTTGAAGTGGCTGGGACATGTGTTGCATATGTCCAACCACCAACTGCCTCGATGAGCTATGTTTAACGCTGTAGGTGTAGACTGGAAGAAAGCTAGGGGTGGCAAGACCAAAACATGGTGCAAATCTATGAATTCGCTGACAAGTCGACTGATTCATGTTGGTAAGTGTAAACTACCCTGCTGGATTCCGCAAGACGATAGCAACTGATTGAATGACATGGCTCAAATTCGTTGTCATTAAAGTAGAGAAAATAAAATATTGGTCATCATATGCAATTATCACTACCGTATCATAATCGTATTTAATTATACTCTCATAAAACAATAATTCATAACGAAATCTTTTCAACTAACTTGATTGTTACAAGTCCAATGAATTTTAGTTGGAGGATTTGTTGGTTCAAACTTCGCTTCCAGTTTAAAGCCTTTACCTAGTTTAACTTGTGTGATGGGATTTAAACTTTTTAACAATTTAGGTGCAGCTATTCGAATAGGCTGGATTTCACCATTAGAAGTTCTATGTTCCACTAAGTTACGTGATCCTCTGATCTCATTGTTAGACCATTTATCGCGAGCTTCATTAATTTCACGTACCTCTGATGCATGCCTTTCAGTTAGACGTGTCAAATTTCTCTTATCATCACGCCAAGAAGAATTTTCGATTCGTGATTCAAAACCAGTGGGCTGTTGACTACTTGAACGAATTTTTCGATCAGCATGCTGAGCACTGAGAAACCGTTTAACACGGCTTGCTATGAAAAAATGAATGGGAATTTATGGGTGTTAAATAAATTATACCTAAGAATATAAGTAATTAATTTTCAAATGTTGCTAACTCATGTTTAAACCAAAATTCACAAATTATTAATACAGTTTAATGAGAATAGTGAGTATAAAAGCTTTTTGAAAAAATAAGCATTTATTTAAGATTGATTCTAGTAACCATAAATCTAGAAAGTAACTACCAAAAAATAAAAATAATTCAATACTTTTTCTAGTTGCACTCACCTTCAACAATAACTTTACACTCGGTTTCATCTTCACCACGACTATTCGTCGCACGACAGGAATATCGTCCAGAATCGCTTTCTGAACAGGAATATATTTCAAGTGAAGTGATGCCAAGCATTTGTTGAATTTCGTAATTTCCTTCACCTTTCCTTAATTCTTTACCATTCTGTTGAAATAATTTCACCAAAATAAAATATATTTTTACTTTAATGCGTAAGTGTATAAGACAAATTGCTTTTTTGGCATACAAAATCTCTACATTGTATAAGAATATTCACATCCTAATTAGTTGCAATGAGTTGAAGAATCTACAGTGTAACACATCTGACTTCATTCACATAAGTACTTTCGCCTGTTACCCCCAATCGAGCATAGGCCGCCCACCAGTTTTCTCCAAATAACTCTGTCCTGGGTTTCCTCTTTCCACTTCTGTTACAAGTTTTCGTTCATTCTTCTCACTGTCTTTCTCTATTTCTCGGCGTAATGTGTTCCTTGGCCTTCATCTTTTCCTTTTGCCTTGAGGGTTACCATGTGAGGGCTTGTCTTCGTGACGCACGTTAGGTGCTTTTCCGCTAATGTCGTGTCCTATCCACTTCCACCGCTTATTCCTCATTTCCTCCTCCACTGGAATCTGGTTTGTTCTCTCCCACAGTACGTTGTTGCTGATCGTGTCTGGCCAACGAATACGAAGTATTTTGCGTAGACAACTGTTCACAAAGACTTGTATCTTCTGGATGATGGCTTTGGTAGTTCTCCGTGTTTCCGCTCCATACAGTAGAACTGTCTTGAAATTTGTATTGAAAATCCTGATTTTGTTGCTGGTTGACATTTGTTTGGAGTTTCAGATATTTTTCAATTGTAGAAACGCAGCCCTTGCATTGCCGATCCGCGCCTTCACATCTGCATCGGATTCACCTTGGTTGTCGATGATTCTGCCAAGATAAGCTGCCAGCACTTTAACACTTATACCAAAACTAGCCATAATCGTTATAAGAGAATATTCACGCTTTTCACGTTTTCAGTAATTTTCAAGAAGCCGGTACCATTTACTAAAGCACTAACCATGCAAATGAAAAATGAACAGGCTTTTAAATGGCACTTTTATTTTTCGTCTTAAGAAATTAATATTTTTGAAATTTAAGAAAATGAAGGACGCTTATAATATTAAAACTCTGGACATGTTAACAGTATATCTTCGTGATTTTGTGGCTTACCAGCTTGTGTATGTTAGATAAGTAAGTAGATAAGTAAATCGGTTTAATAATTAGACTAGTCCTACTATCACACAAGTGTCAGCTAAAAGATATCGTTTTACTTTCTTAAGAGAATAATCTTGGGATGGGAAAATGTTAAATGTAATTAAAGACTTGAATCGATACTTAGAAAGAAAGAACACCTTCCTGCGTTACTGTCTTATATTCAAATTAATATTTTAATTTTCAGCTACTAATAAGTAGTGTGAGACGATAACTCATCAAAATAGAAACTCAGTTTCGTAAACGAGTCATCAAAATTTTTGAAAATATATCCCTAATCATAGGGGTGAATTTGTATGAACATAACTTTATTCCTAAAGAAAACATATGCATATATATGATTTATCTTAAACGAGATCTTCAATAACAAGGAGTACAGTTAGGTTCAACTGATAAAATAAAGGAAAACACAGCATTCATCGAAAATTGTTTTATAAAAATGGAAAAATTGACACAGTGAAGCACGTGAACTGGCTGAGCCAGCAGACAACCGGAGTGAGTGAGCTCACTCACTCCGGTAGTCTGCAGGTCGAGCGAGATCACGTGCTTCACTGTGTCAATTTTTCCATGTTTCAATAAACAATTTTCGATGAATGCTGTGTTGTGTTTCCTTTATTTTATCAGTTGAACCTAACTGTACTCCTTGTTATTGAAGATCTCGTTTAAGATAAATCATATATATGCATATGTTTTCTTTAGGAATAAAGTTATGTTCATACAAATTCACCCCTATGATTAGGGATATATTTTCAAAAATTTTGATGACTCGTTTACGAAACTGAGTTTCTATTTTGATGAGTTATCGTCTCACACTACTTATTAGTAGCTGAAAATTAAAATATTAATTTGAATATAAGACAGTAACGCAGGAAGGTGTTCTTTCTTTCTAAGTATCGATTCAAGTCTTTAATTACATTTAACTTTTTCCCAAAGATTATTCTCTTAAGAAAGTAAAACGATATCTTTTAGCTGACACTTGTGTGATAGTAGGACTAGTCTAATTATTAAACCGATTTACTTATCTACTTACTTATCTAACATACACAAGCTGGTAAGCCACAAAATCACGAAGATATACTGTTAACATGTCCAGAGTTTTAATATTATAAGCGTCCTTCATTTCTCTTAAATTTCAAAAATATTAATTTCTTAAGACGAAAAATAAAAGTGCCATTAAAAGCCTGTTCATTTTTCATTTGCATGGTTAGTGCTTTAGTAAATGGTACCGGCTTCTTGAAAATTACTGAAAACGTGAAAAGCGTGAATATTCTCTTATAACGATTATGGCTAGTTTTGGTATAAGTGTTAAAGTGCTGGCAGCTTATCTTGGCAGCATCATCGACAACCAAGGTGGATCCGATGCAGATGTGAAGGCGCGGATCGGCAAAGCAAGGGCTGCATTTGTACAATTACAAAATTTCTGGAACTAAAAATAATAGTCAACAAACGCAAAAACCAGGATTTTCAATACAAATTTCAAGACAGTTCTACTGTATGGAGTGGAAATTCGGAGAACTACCAAAGCCATCATCCAGAAGATACAAGTATTCAGTTGTCTACGCAAAATACTTCGTATTCGTTGGCCAGACACCATTAGCAACAACGTACTGTGGGAGAGAACAATCCAGATTCCAGTGGAGGATGAAATCAGGAAGAAGTGGTGGAAGTGGACCGGACACAATACGAAAAGCACCTAACTGTGTCACAAGACAAGCCCTCACATGGAATCCTCAGGGTGAAAAGAAAAGAGGAAGACCAAGGAACACATTACGCCGAGAAATAAAGAAAGACATGAGAAGAATGAACAAAAACTGTAAAGAAGTGGAAAGAGAAACCCAGGACAGAGTTATTTGGAGAAAACTGGTGGGCGGCCTATGCTCCATTGGGGGTAACAGGCGAAAGTAAGTAAGTAAGTAAGCTTATGTGAATGAAGTCAGATGTGTTACACTGTAGATTCTTCAACTCATTGCAACTAATTAGGATGTGAATATTCTTATACAATGTAGAGATTTTGTATGCCAAAAAAGCAATTTGTCTTATACACTTACGCATTAAAGTAAAAATATATTTTATTTTGGTGAAATTATTTCAACAGAATGGTAAAGAATTAAGGAAAGGTGAAGGGAATTACGAAATTCAACAAAATGCTTGGCATCACTTCACTTGAAATATATTCCTGTTCAGAAAGCGATTCTGGACGATATTTCCTGTCGTGCGACGAATAGTCGTGGTGAAGATGAACCGAGGTGTAAGTTATTGTTGAAGGTGAGTGCAACTAGAAAAAGTATTGAATTAATTTTATTTTTTGGTAGTTACTTTCTAGATTTATGGTTACTAGAATCAATCTTAAATAAATTGCTTATTTTTTCAAAAAGCTTTTATACTCACTATTCTCCATTAAACTGTATTATAATTTGTGAATTTTGGGTTTAAACATGAGTTAGTAACAATTTGAAAATTAATTACTTATATTCTTAGGTATAATTTATTTAACACCCATAAACTTCCCATTCATTTTTTTCATAGCAAGCCGTGTTAAACGTTTCTCAGTGCTCAGCATGCTGATCGAAAAAATTCGTTCAAGTAGTCAACAGCACCAACTGGTTTTGGAATCCAACGAATCGAAAATTCTTCTTGGCGTGATGATAAGAGAAACTTTGACACGTCTAAACTGAAAGGCATGCTCAGAGGTACGTGAAATTAATGAAGCTCGCGATAAATGGTCGAACAATGAGATCCAGAGGATCACGTAACTTAGTGGAACATAGAACTTCTAATGGTGAAATCCAGCCTATTCGAATAGCTGCACCTAAATTGTTAAAAAAAGTTTAAAATCCCATCACACAAGTTAAACTAGGTTAAAGGCTTTAAACTGGAAGGCAAATATTTGAACCAACAAATCCTCCAACTAAACTTCATTGGACTTGTAACAATCAAGTTAGTTGAAAAGATTTCGTTATGAATTATTGTTTTATGAGAGTATAATTAAATACGATTATGATACGGTAGTGTATAATTGCATATGAATGACCAATATTTTATTTTCTCTACTTTAATGACAACGAATTTTGAGCCATGGTCATTCAATCGGTTGCTATCGGTCTTGTGGAATCCAGCAGGGTAGTTTACAACTTAACCAACATGAATCAGTCGACTTGTCAGCGAATTCAGAGATTTGACAACCATGTTTCGGTCTTTGCCACCCCTAGCTTTCTTCCAGCAGTCTACACCTACAGCGCTTAAAAGCATAGCTCATCGAGGGCATTTGGGTGGTGGACATATGCAACACATGTCCCCAGCCACTTCAACTGGTTTGTGAGTTGCAGATTTTCATCGATTAGATCCTGCCCTCCCTACCTAGTACTCCATTTTCCCTAACACAAGCATTGTTTACTCAGTGGTCCCGAGGGATATACGAGCAAATGCTTCGGAGACCACTTATAGATTGTGAGAAACCAGCAACCTACGAATATCCTCAACTCTCACCGGCCATGTTTCTCACTCGTATAATTGGATGGAGAGCATTGTTGCGCTCCACGTTACTATAAATGAAGCGGTCAACACACTCAGCTACTTCAATTCCTATTACTAATTCAGGTCCCGTTGTAAGCCAATCCTGAATCAAAATTTTTCATTTCTACGACGAGAACCGCATCCCGAACATGCTTGCATTGTTGCTTTAGGTAGTCAGAAGACTTCATTCTGTCAGCATCTTCACCAAGTAGAATTATGTCATCGGCACATTCTAGGTCAACAAGCGAATCCCCTGGTAGAAGGTCAAACCCTGAAGAGTCAGATTATCATAGTGTCGTACCTAAAAGCACGTCTACGACAAAGTTAAGCACGAATTAAAATAAACCTACTCTTACATCTCAAGCACTTATTAGTTTTGCGATACTCATCTTACAGGACATTTTAATGGTTTGTTGACATTCACTGACTCAGGAAATCTCATTGAATGTGCAAATATATAGATCAGGCGATGTCTGAGAATCATTTAGGCTGATATTTACGTCATTGAAAATCATACTTTAATGAAAATGACGGTTGTTAATCGACTGAAATCATCAACTCATGGTCCCACTTATCAAATTATTAGGAAAACATATGAACAACTTTGAGGAAACTAGCTTTTCATCATAGATCTGGAATGAAGTAATCTAACTGCCGAATAAGCGATGTTACTATTGAGTTACTAAAATTCAAACTCATTGTTATACAGTTTCATGACAAGATAATATTTAGTACTTTGGTAAGAATATTTTGTAAACTAGAATACTTTTGATTCATTTTTTTTACTGGATAACATCTGTTATTTGAAAATGCTTTCAACAAATAGTATTCGATATAAATATATCAGGTATTTATTACCATAATTGTTATCCATTTTGTAATACTATTTGGTATTAAACAAAAATGCATTTTTTTTTCAATAGAGCAGTGTTTTTATTATCATATTCAAACAGATTGTTCGGTAAGCATGCGTCAATTATGTAACTATTTTTAAAAATGTAAATTATTCACATTGAATTACAGGAAATTACTCCAGGTGATAATATAAGAATTACAACATCTGAAGATGGTGAATTTAGTTATCTTGAAGTTTTTGAATCTAGTTTCACAAATGCAGGTGATTATGAAGCGAAAGCTGGAACAACTATTACTCGAACCAGTGTTAAAATTGAAGGTATGTTTGATCTATTCAAGGAGGAGAACATTTTGAAAGTCATTTATTTTGCTTAGCTTCAATAGGTAAACATTAATTTCAGAAATTGATTTCATAGTTCATTTTATGCTAAACTCCAGACAACTGATCTCATATGTTACAACAAACTAATAGTACATTGTTGTGTTTCCCTTAAGTTAGAATATTAAGTCCAATATGATATAAAACTGTTTGCTTAAAATCTGATAACCTTTCGATTATATAGATGACTATTTGTGTATCAGTTAGGTTTAATTGTTTAAACTAATTTCCAGTCATTCCTTTATGTTTATGATGAATGAAATATAATACAGACAAATAAACATCGCTTAAATTCCAAACATGTATTTCACTGTCATTTAAATCACATTTTAATATTACTCTTGATGAAAAATTGTTTTCCTTTTTACTGCACATATAGCTCCAGTTAATTCATTGAACGGAATGATAGATGAAATTGATGAGGAAATGTCAGATGAATTTTCTACTCAAGATGTTGACCAAGTAATAAACGGCACTGATGGAGGCATCATACCTAAAGCTGTTGGATTAGCACCATCATTCACTATCCATCCAATTAGTCAAACTGTTAAAGATGGAGATACGGTATGTTTAGAGTGTTCGGTATCAGGGGATCCTATTCCAGAAGCCGAATGGTATTATAATGATGGTCCTATTCAAGCTGGACATATATTTTCTCAAGATAACGAAATTATAAAGCTTGAATTACAAGCTCTATTACCCGAAGATACTGGTACTTATGAATGTCGCGCAACAAGTTCAATGGGTAAAGCATCGACTGTAGCATTCCTTGTTGTTGAAGGTTAGTTATATATTTCAATGTTTTCCTTTTTAAGTGTTTTAACGAGTTGCTTTTTTGAACTCGTGAGGTTTCATTTAATAGTTGAAATCTTACCTTGAAACCTGCTGATCTGTAGTGTATGTTCTTATGAGATTTTATATTTGTGCGCTCCTGGAGGCGTTCGAACAGAAACTGAACAGCTAACCAGTGACCTGGTTTTTATACCTCTTCAGCTGATTTCAGTTCATGACGAAAATCACCTTCAGCATTATTTAAACTGGAAAACGAAAGAATATCAGCATTTACGCTAAACAAATCATGCTTGTTCACTTTATCTCTAACAAATTATCATAGTTGCTTAACTTTATGAAGATAATAAAGGCTTTGAAACGTCCTGTGATAACTCTTAAGTTGACATCCGATACACATTTCAGTGAATTAAAATTGCTAGTCAAATGAATAATTCTGTTCATCATTGATCGTCTTGTCAGTAATAATACTAACATATTTTTCACAAAAGTCATTTGCTAGAATTCTCTATAACTCAGGGATTTACGAGTACAGAGAAATGCAATAATCAATGTTGGGTATTAGTTTTGTATGAATGTTGTGAAAATATTCCTTTTTTTATTTTCTTACAGCTGAAAATGAAGAGATGAAAGGACCAAAATTCCTAACTTTCCCACAATCACGTAGTGCTGAGGAGAATGAAACCGTTACTTTTAAATGTTCCTTTGGTAATTCACCAGTTAACGAAGGTGAGTAAGAATATCGGTAGATAGAGGAAAAGTGATGTGAAAATAATTTGGAATTTTATGAGTATTTTTCAGATTTATTTAGTATTATTTCCATTCCTATCTGCTTTAGAAATTTTGGGTTAGAAGTAACTCATCATTAGAAAGTTTCACAATCAAGGGTACTTAGTTCAACAAAGTTTTTGGTGCACACGTCCAGTTGCAATCTAGAAGGAAGCTATATTATTTGAGTTGTGAATTGTTTGTTTGATGTTCAGTTAATCTGCTTACAAATGCAACCGTCAATTTGTATCTTGTATCTAACTTTTTATTATTCATCGGGAAAATGATTGAGATATAATTGTTCAGAAGATTTTCAGGAATTACTTCATAAAATAAACAGTTAGTTCTAAGCTTGATGATTCAAGGTAATCGTTTTAGTTTAAAGTCGTCATTAATTACTGATCATTCAACAGTGATCTATTTTATGGATCATAATTTGTGATTATTAGTTCATCAAAATAAGCGAAAGAGGCATCTTACACGAATTGAGGCTCTATGATCATTATCTCAATCTTGTGTAGGACTGTGCTCATGAGTCCAGTATCTCCCAGTGATGAAATAACTTCTCTGTTTCTAGTGAACTTTCGTTCAGTGCACCGAATGTTTTGATCATGAAGTATTAATTGTTTTTTGAACAGTATAAACAATACAAACTTCAGGTAGCAGTGAGTTGTTTGGATTGCTACTTATATGATTGACAGCTTGTTCTGTCTTGAAGTTCGTGCTAACGATGTTATTCAAACGGAAGAAAGCTTCATGGTCAAACCACTCAGTTCGGAGAAAAGGACTCTGCTAAAATCAGCTGCGAATTTCCCTTCCATATTATCTCACATATTGATATTAACTTTTAAACGGAACACATCTTTTTCCGAAATCCTCTAACGAATAAACTGAATTTATATCGAAACCATTGTAATTGAAGACCTAGTAACTGAAAAAAAACAACCTTTGCTCATTGACATGAACGAAATGGTTCATATTATATTGAATTTCAGTTCTTTGCCTAATGGACTTCATTAACGATTCGCCTTTGCAATGTATGATTTGATAATGTATTGTTTTTTAACTTTAAAAAAAAGTATAAAAATCTGGTCGAACTGATTATCTTTCAACCTTTTTTTACAAAATTTCAGTTTCTTGGTTTCGCAACAATACTCCGTTGGATTCTAAGTATTTTGATTTTGATGTATCTGCTCAGACAAGTATGTGCATTCTTCCATCAGTGAAAACATTGAAAGATTCTGGAATTTACTCAGTAGAAATCAAAGATGTTGATGGTAACTCATTTGTATGTAAATTTTACCTACAAGTATTACCATCTTTATTGAGGAACGATAGTAATTCAGTTGAAGCGATTTAAAATTACATATTTTTGTACAGGAACACTTACTTGTCCTAACGCGAATCATGACCAATGACTTCAACTACCATTTAGTGACAATCTTATTATCTCAAAAAGCTATCAATGGAAAATACTTTTTGTGCACAAATCAGGTACAAAGTCTCACGTTTTATGAATTATCAACATTCATTGACACTTATACTTTCTCAAAATATTAGTGATGAATAGAAACCTTTTATTCCCCTTGATTATTCTGACAAGAAATGCTTTTGCCCATTTTTTTTCTCAACACATTCAAAAAACATTCAAAAGTATCAGTGTAAAAATGATGCCAATCAGAGAAACATATTTTTTGAAGTAATATAAACTCTAACCAGCGAAAAATATCCTATGAAAAAAAAAACTCTCAAAAGAAAGATACACTTCGTTTCGTTTTAGTTTATGTGACAATTTTCTAGTCATTTTCGATGGCTATACATACTTGTATGTAATATGAGATGAGATAATAATATTTAAAAAGACTTATAGGATAAGTTAGGGAATGCAATTGAAATTCAACTTTTGACTGCTCACTTATGTATTCTGTGACTTAAACAATTATTACTACAACTTTTGATTTTTAATCGCTTTTTCTTTCTCCTGTTTCGTTTGTGAACATTTTCAACATCATTTAGATGTTTGTGCAAAAAAAAGTCGAGAGAATAACAATTATACACATGTGTGCATACTGTTATTTATTACTATTTATCTTCATTATCATCACTTTTAAATCCGATTCAAAATTCAAACATTTTAACTTGATTTTTTTTTGGACAAGATTCTTTTATGCTTCCACCCATTTTTTGTTTTGTTTTGTTTTAGTTTACTCATTCATTCGCTTAATAGAATGATTTCTTGTTTACATAGATGTGTACGTACGTTGATTCCTTTACACTTTTCATTCCCATGAATATTCTTCTACTGGAATTGAAGTAACCTATTTCCTTTGATCAATTAACAAAAAATCTGCTTTTTACTGATATTTTATTTAAGTATTCATAATAATTCACTGTTTTATATATGATAAAGAAAAACAAATCACAAATTAAACTTCTTCTTCACAAAAACCTTTTACTAGTAGTAAAACGATTTTCATAATGGCTTATTAATTGACTTCTCAATTTAAACTTTACGCTGTCGAATAAATCGTTTGATCGCAGAAAAAACAAAACAAAATTATTTTATTTCTAAATTGTATGTACGTACACATACTTGTGCTCATTTATCAAATTACCTCTTTTCAAATATTATTTTCTTTCGTATCTCATTTGTTTGCCCTGTTCTATTGATAACGATTCACACAAATTCATCCCAAAAAATGTATTCACATTTGGAGAAATCATCATTATACGTGTTGTTTTTGAAAAAAAGGCTTCGTTGTAAGTAAAGAGAAGAAAACTGTTTATGTAAAATCTTACGATTTTTCACAATCATCAAACCCTTTTTTTGCTTTACGACAGATAAGAATAAGAATATAAATGTGAACAACAACTAATGTGATCATTTCAAGTGTTATTTCAATTCTCTTTGAACATTTTTCTTAATGAATCACTTAGCCTACGAGCAGATTTATTTATTGACACAATTCTAAATCTCTTCATTGTTCTCTTCCTACATATTATACACGAAACAAATTGATATTAATAATAATGATAACAATACTTGTTATTTCTGATTATCTTATCCTATCCTATTCATTCTTCTTCAACAATAATAATAATAATCTCACTTTCTTATATGTGCTATTTTTGGCCAGTTTAAAAAAAAACAAGTCAAATTTAATTTTTTTTCTCATCTATGTAGTCAGTTTGGTTTTACCATGCTCTTTCGCCAATTTTATTCTCTTCCTCTTGTTGTCATTCTTTTTCACATTGTTACATGTTTTTTTCTTGAATAACTATTTGTTTCTTTCAATGGAACTGATCACTTTTTCTTTGACCGAACCCTTTATTAAATTATCATTATTTACTTACACTTACAACAAATTATGTCCTATATGAGAAAAACAAAGAATGTTTTGAAAAGTAAAGTTTGAAAAATGATATTGAATATGTTCTGTTTTAGAATGTTTTGTCAACTAACTAAGAGGGCTATCAATACAAATTCTACTAGTCTTCGGTACTGAACATACTTTATCCATTTAAATATCATTTTGATCTGAATTGCACTACTGAGTGAAAATTTTACCTAGTAGGGAACTTAGACCGACTAGTGTTCCCCAACCTACTCACTGGTCAGCGGCCTATGCTCCATTAGGCGTGACAGGCGTAAGTAGTGAACTTAAAACCTACATTGTGAAATAGTTTTAAGTTTTCAGTACGCTTTATTTATAATCTGGAAGCAATTGATACACTTTGTAGAATTTAAACCCATATTGTTGAATATTACAGTGGGAGATACTAGCAGTGATCTATTTGACCCGGAACTGACTTCATGTGTGATTGAGGTATTTAAAAAGTGATGAGTTATTAAGTAGTAATCAACATCATATTTATCTGTTATATTAATGTCAGTCAAATTTCATTGATCAGCTGATGATATGACCACTAGATTACAGATATATCTCACGTGGATGAAAACAAACATGAGATCTAAATATGAGAATTATTCTCGATTATTTTCAACCACCTAAGATCGGATATATTGCATGCAACATTGAAGTCACTTTGCTTACTGACCAGTAACTGTAACTTTAACTAGGAAAATAATGGAGAACGATGGTTCTTGTAACCAATATATAACAACTATACGTTATAGAAAAATATCTCATGAAGTGTAACCATAAGTTTTTAATTGTTGCCGAATAATCTTGAATAACTGGTTAAAATTGCCAATACGGAAATCAATCAGTTTTTCATAAACAGTTTAAGTTCCTGGAAAGTTTCGTTATATTGACTATTGAATTTCAGTTTTAAGCACATGACTGTTCAATTTGTACATTTTTTCTTCGTACAATCACTTAGACTTAGAAATGTTAATATATGCAGAATAATTAATTAAACAAATTCATGTAAATCATTATCGTGTTAGAAATTATGTTTATCGGGTCAACTATTACATGTTACTGATTGGTTGAAGGTTGCTTATTTATCAAGCGATTATTTGACATAAAGATCAATTAATCTAACTTTCCTAAAAAACAAATTTGACATATGAATAAATTCATAAAATAATAAGTAAATCACTAAACATATTTCACAAGTTCTTATTGTTGATAATCATGGCAAAGTATTTCAAAGTTGATATTTCATAGTTAGATAATTGTGGTATAATTATTCAGTATATCATCATGGTTTTAATAAAGATTATTCCAAATATTTCAATAACACATTTTGACCTTCTGGATAAATGAGGCAGAAATATTTATTCTGTAACTAGTTGTCTTCTAAATGTGCTATATTCTTAGATTTGAGGATTCAGCTATCAGTTCTAGAAGACAATAATAAAATTTCGACTTTTATTTGACAATATTAACTTATTAAAGAAATTAAATTTGATTTAAATCCGCACTAGCTTTTTTATTCCATGTATAGTAAACAGTTCACAATTGTTCTTAGATATACGGATAATTGAAATCTGCAGAAAATTTGGGTGAAGAGAACAGTGACTGAATTTTCATAGCTTAAGGTTTCATGAAAGCTTTATTTCGTACAGGAAATTGCATTTGAAAAAAGGTGTTGGATAATACAATGCCGAAGGTGTTACATGAAACAGTAATCTGGAACAGACATTTATTTTAATGTGTAAATCGATGGTACAGCCATAATATTCTGGTAATTACTTTGATATCACTAAAATAGTATAAGTACATAACTATATCATTCTTAAGTTAGTTCAGTCCTTTTGTATTAAAATACGAGAGTCAATATGCGGTTAAGAATGTCGATTACAAAAAAAATCTTTAGAATAATTGAAAAACAGCAAAATTCATGCTTCACCAGACACCTGAGCATGATATAGGCAATTTTGTCACATATGATCCCCACAGCACACAAAGGATTAGTCGGAATATCGAAATAAGGATAGTTGAATACTTCCCTGAATGTTTTTGAAAACGAAGAAATTCCAACGGGCAGAGAATAAATATCCATTTTCTTGATTGGCTAAACACAAAGCAGGATTGATTTATCAAATCTATTTGAAGACAATCTTCATAGTGTTTTGCGGGAGAGATCAAAGTTCAATATCCTGATTTGTTGTGGCGCTCGTCACTTTTGTATTCAAAAAAGTTTTTACCAACAACAAACCTGTTTAAACTTTCATTATCGAAAGTGCTGTAAGTAGTTCTGTTTCACTTCATTATCCTTCTGTTTATCTACTTGTTTGATCCTTGTATTTATCGTATGAGAATATCTATTAACAAAAATAGCATATGACCGTTGGATGACGGCCCAGTGGTCCGATGGTTAGGCGTTCGAGCACAATACCGAGGGTCCCGGGTTCGAATCCTGCGAGGTTCAGGAGTCGTGGATTCGCACTGCTGATGAGTCCCATACCAGGACAAAACGGCCGTCCAGTGCTTCCAAGTTTCTAATGGTGGTCTAACAATGATTGATTGATGATTTCAAATGTGTAAGAAAACACAAACCTCCAAAAACTCTGCCCCAAAATATGATCAAATTGTTCTAAATGTAATACATTCTTTTTTCGAGTAGTTATGAAAAACATTATCTTCTCACTACACTATGTATGTTTATCGCTTTGTAATTGGTAATTATTATGGTATGATAATATTCATCAATTCATATTTTATTGATAAATGTTCATCAATTACACAAAACAATAAAAAAATTGTTAATCACGGCATCATTCTAGAAACTGTTAACTTAAAAAGCATTAACAAATAGCTTTTGAGCATATAAGTCCGAGTAGCATGAAGTGCATGATTAATCTTAAGTTAAAAAAATATTCATATCAAAGTCTACAGTCGGCCTAAATACAGACAAATCACTTCATAAAACCTTTGTACAAGTTATGTTTAACTATATAATGTTAAGTACTTTAGACCATCGTGTCGAATCAGTTACTGTTAATAATGAGCATAAAGTAAATGCTTATCTCCCCATGTCCATTATAATCAAGTTAAATATTAAGATTTTGGCATAAAAATTGGCAAAACTATTCAAAAAATCATTGTCAAGAAAGAAATATTAATGTGGTAATACTGAAATTAGAGCAATTAGAGCAAACATTGTGATGTTTGGAATGATGTGTGTTCAGAGAATCACTGATAAGTCATTCAGAGGGGTATGTACCTCAAATTGTTTGCCATGAAAAAGGCATAAAATTACTGTGAAAATCATAATCCAACGTTTGTGAACAGGATTTCTGTCTTGCTTCTTGTGTAGATAAGATTTCAAGAATAATTTGTGAAATGATTAATCAATAATTCTCGCTTAAAATGACCAGATTTCAATCCGGGCGTATACTACACATACATACATACATCTGAGTACAATATTGATTTTTGCTTGCAAATTAACTCTTTTATATTTAGTTTAGTATTTGGTCGTTATGTCATGACATTGTTGATTTGAGCATAAACGGACTGAACAGTCATTCTAAACCTTGATCATAAATCTATTTACCATCATGTCAGTTAGTGACTTGAAATCGAAAAATGTACTGTATTCACGTCTTGAATACACATGAGTTCCACACTTGATGCTTTATATCTGAAGAGAGATGATATTTAGAAACTGCCTGGCACATTTAGTGGTTTACTAAACTACATTTATAGATTGATTCATTCTTTTGGTTAACAGTCGACTAATTTTGATTTCAAATATCAGTCAGTTTCATTGACTTGTATAACATTTTATTTTCATGTCTAAAAATGTCTAGTTCTCTTTATTCGATAAGTTAAATAATAAACTTTATGAATTGGGGGATGTAAAAAAAACTGAACGTCCATTTAATTATTATCAAAGAGACAGTATTCCTAGGTAAACAAATAGTAAGTGATACAATTCTTCTCACTAACTTTCTACAGCTTTTTCCTTATGAAAATACAATTAATGAAATTTAGTATGGAAGATTTGTAAGAAGCTTTCAGTTTTCAATTTGAATTTTGAATTGATCTTAAACAGACTACTATTGGAAATCTAGAAGCACTGGAGGGCACTATTATAGCATGTGACTCTTCAGAAGTGCCTATCCATGAGTTTGCGTGTAGGAATCGGATCCAGGACTGTTTACCCTACTCGTGAAAAGTGAAGATACAAATTAAACGTTAACTAATATTTTATCATATTTGATATTCAGGACTTGAATTTTCTATTGTCCTAGCAATTTTGATCCTATTTAGGTCACCAGTACCTTACATTTACACACAAGTGTAGTCCACCAAGATCCCCGTTTTCTATTTCAAGGCTATCTCGAATAATCAACTGAAATCCAACAGTTTAAACGTTTGAGTGGTTTTTATTCAAAAATTACTATTTATATCCAACATTTTAATATGGGATTCTAACTTCCCCAATAAATATAAATAGGTTAAGTTGTAGATTATAATACAATATGATAATGTCTGGTCATAAGACTAACTGGAAGTTTCGATCCAGCTTCTCAACTATAATCAATCATCTGAACTGATAAACCACTTAGTTTATCCCACTGAAATCGATATTTTGCTTAAGTTCGAACAACCCAAGTAGGCGAAGAAATAAGTACTCATCTAATTTATGAGTATATCTTAAAAAATAGATGTTCAAACAATGCATACTTCAAATATTCACAAGATAATCGTTACCGTTGTCATACATACATTCTCATAAGTATCTTGGGCTAATTAATGTGATATAACAAAATTTTACTCATATGATGCATTTTCAATTAAAAATTATTTATGAATGTAGAAAACTTCTCAGTAGTTATTCTAATCAAGTATATTCAACAACACATACAATATTTTCACTTGACTGTACTGAAACAACTCTCTAATGTGTACGAATTAAAGCTAAATATTTTTTTTCCAAAAAAATAATAGCATGTTAATATAAAAATAAAAATGAATGGATCATTATTTTCATTTATTACACTGAAAAATTAAATAATAATAATAATAATAATAATAATAAATAATAAATAATAGAACCAATATTTAATCTCAATAAATCAATCGATAATAAAAAAAATTTAACTGACATAGTTTAGTCAATTTCATGAGCAGTATATAAATAAACTGAACCATTATCATCGATGATATTTCCTTGAATAGGGTCATAACGTACATGTTTAATATCAACTTCCCATGATTTTGTATTATTTTCAATATAAACATTATCTGTTTGACATTGTTGATTCTTGATTTTTCTAGTTCTTTCTTTTTCTTTTCTCAATTGCTTTTTCTGTCGTTCAGTGTCATATCTAGAACTATATGAAGTACTTTGAACTGGTTCAATTAGTCTTCTATGATTAAATGAATCATTACTGTCTACATTAGTGTAGATTTGTAATGTTGGCTTGTATTCATTATAATCTTGATTAGTTTGTTGTGAATAACGTCGAGAATGATTTTGATCTATTTCTAATGTTCTATGAGGATTATTAGTTAATTTTACATTAGATTGATTTGAAGAAGTATTATTCGCTAGTGAATTCAACATAGCTGCATCATTTTTAATGATAGCATTTTGACTTTTGCCAATTAGACCTCGTCTTTTGGATATTTTATTTAAAGGTGTTGATTCTTTGTAACCGATCATCAACTGTTTTTTATCTGGTCTAATTGAATAGTCAGTTTCTTTGTTCAATGCATATTTCCATATTAATAATTGTGAATCTATCAGTTGAATTAATCTTTCCATATCGTAGGCATTTTTGATTGACATAACAACAAATTCTTTCTCAGCATAATCTTCATCATATAATCCTATGGCAAATCTTAGTTGTCCTTGATTGAATGTAATCAATTTTTGTACAGATTTATATTTTATTGAATGTTCAACACGATATGGCCACCATGAGGCATTTTTTAAAATTAATGAAGTATAAGTAAGAATTAGTTTAGTTTTAATGGATTTTTTTGGTTCTTTCCATGGATTAGCAAAATGTTGTTCAAAACGATACTGAAATATTGGTGTAGTATATTCATCATGAATACGTAATTCCACATAATTTTCTAAGCGTATTGTAATACACAATAGTGGAGTAATTGTATTCAATGGTCGTTTATTCATTGTAATTCAATAAATTATCTATCTAGAATCAGATTATGCTTTAAATCATACCAGTCCATTTGTGTATATGTATGTATTTAATTCAATTATACAAGTAAGGATTTTTATTCAAGTTATATGCGTATTTTTTTTTCTGATTTAGAAAAAAAATAACTAAAAAATTGAAATTTTATATCCGTGACTTACTGAATGTTCAAAGTTTCAAGATACAATGAACATGTTAGTGATTTAAAACCATACACTCTGAACAACCAATTTTAAATTATTCAATCAATATGCACGAATATTGATATATATATATATATATATATATATCAATACTTTAGATTTAAATGTGGTCGCCTTATTTTTTGGTTAATATTTCTCAATGACCAATCACATAAACAGTGTGAAGTGTTTGCTAAATCTCGAAGTAATGCGAAATAACAAAACTAAAACATGTAACCAATGATTCGATCCAAATCGATTATTTGATGTTAGAGGAGAGAGAGAGAGAGAGAGAGTGAGTTATGAAGAGAAGTGGGTGGATATCAAGTCTATTGTGAGATACACACAGTATTTATTATGTTGCGTAAATTATTTGTTCGAAAAGAAAATGCAATAATCTCAATAATACACAGATCGGTTGATTGATTTATCATCGCTGACATAACGACTTGAATTTTTGTATGCGATGGAATTAAAAAGATTGACAAAATTTTAGTGAGGAGTTGATCAAAAACAGTACACTAACTAGAAAGAAACTATAATTTAACATAGTAAGGTTTGTTTTATGAAAAGTAAATCATTCCTGGTTCTTTGTAAAGAAATACTTTGGATCTTGGTTATGATATCATTACGAAATGATATCAATTGGGAAATCATTGAAAACTGGACAGCTGTTTCCTACAAATTTAAGAGCTTTCACTGCCAAGAGCTAGGCAGAAATGAGCTTGATAGTATAAAACGTATGCCTTATTCAGTCACCTAGTATAATCATAGTTGTACAGTTGATGGTGATAGAATTTGATCTAGATTGTATTGAGGGATAGTTGTCGGTGAGCTCGATTAAATTACAAGGTAGTAATCACTTAGATATCACTGAATGAAGACTGTGACATTCTTCAAGCTGGCTGAATTTGGAGCACTGATATACCATACTAACATTATGACTGATTTGTGTAACGACACTAGGCCCATTAAAAGATCTATGTGAGAATGTAAGTGTTCACTGATAAAGTGTCCAAACGTATCGATCAACCTTTCCTCAGGTTATTTTAAAAAAATTATTTTTCTTCAAAGTCTACTTATTTAAACTGAAAACATTTCCAATACAGAATATATTTCATTCACTATTTCTCGTTGATCTTAAAGTCATAAATTCTGAAAAAACCTGTGACATATAACTGACTGTTTTGTAATCGAAACATTTGGAGATTTCATATGAATCCGTTTTCGTCTAATACTAATGGCATTTGTAACAAGTTTCATGTGATTTAAATAGATGGATAATGAAATTTTCACCCTTTAAAAATAATCCCAATTATAAATTATACATAAATGCTTAATAATTTCAAAAACTTAAGTTGCATGTATTTTGCACAGTGTTGATTTAGCCTTTTCTACAATGGTTTTAACAATAAAGGTTTTTCAAAATTCTTTTCTGAATCATAAAGCGCTTTCCCCAATCACCATATCATTTAAAACTATATTCCGTAGTTATTAAGTGAATATACATCACTAACAAAGACAACAAAATTTACTGTAAGTTTTAAATTAACTATTGTCTTAATCATTTAATCAACTGATCTATTGACGAATGGCTCATCTATATTTTTACTGTTAACATGATATCCATTTATATTGGAATGTATTTGTTTGGTTACATTCTTTTTACTGAAACAAAAATGTTCCACAATTCGAAAAACAAAAGTAACAATAATAATAATATCTATGATGAACCTGAACTACTGTGCACAATTTCATGTGATTTTTTTAAAGGAAATTCAAGTAGACAATACTTTTGAATTTAGACACTGAAAATTAAACTAATAATGAAATTTAAACTGTTTACATAATATCAGTCATTAAGGATCATATTACGATTGGTACATAGACAAACACAAAGCAACACGATTTTTAACAGAATAGCAGGAAGACGTATCGAATTTTAACGTATGAATTTATTCCTTAAATTATATCCACGTATTATATTGAGTTATTTGTATTGGTTGTTTGAATATTCCCATTGATGTTTAGGACTGCAGGTGATCAGTTTCTTTCGGTACACGTACATTCTGTGCAGTTTGCCTGGATAGTGACTTTTAGATTACAAGCATTATTAGCAGAGGTGGATAGTAGTTGGCAGTAGAATCCAGGATGCGCGTTTTGTCCTATTTGGGACTTGCTAACCTGATGAACTGACATCTCAGAGTTGATGCTCACTTCAAGTCTCGAACCCAGTGCCATCAACAATCAATCACCCAGTAACATCAACTCTGAAATACAGGTTCATCAAGTTGACGAGTCCCGAGTGGGGCAAAACGTATGGCCTGGATTCCACAGTTATTAACTATCCCTATCTGCTAAAAACGTGTATTACGTTGTTCATGAATTTTACTCGGCAATGACAATCGGAAAAATACCATCGTATGAACGAAAACACTTCATTTTTTTTCAGAGATAACAGTATAATCCACATCATTTGCCATGAAAAGACTTTATTTTAAACTGATTCAATCATTGTATAAATTTATATCTGAAGTATTATACTATTTAAAAGTAGTTTCATGCTTTAAATTGTTTGTGACTTAGAAATTGTTTTAAGTAAGCATAAAATATTTTGTAAGCTGTGTCATATATTTTCACTACATCAAGAAATATTCTGGATGATCTTGTTCTGACACTTTGTATCTCGAAAAGCATCTAACACTGAACAACTGCTTCGTTCTTGTTTGGATCTTGTTGTTATTGACCAGCCAAAAATTTGGATGTCAAGTCAATTACCATGGCTTAAGTTGAGGTATACATTTCCAGCCGAAATGAATTTGTGATACACCAAGCTTTTATTGTAGCGATATTATGATAAAAGCCCTTTAGGCAAATCTTCGACGGTTTTAGATATTAATATGAAGTTATAATACGTTTGGCCTCAGAGATTGTTCTACTACATCTCATTGGTTATTGTCTTACTAGCATTATTACCACTAATATGTAAATTAATTTGCTGTTCTTGCTAGGTATTCATTCCACTCATCTGTATAAGTTGATAGTAGTCAACGTTATGCAGCTAAGTGATTTTCTGTCAATGAACTCTTTTGTTTACCAGAAATATTGATAAAAAACTGTTCAGCTGTTTACGCAGTAAGACAACACACTATGTCCTCTTATTTTTAGCAGTGTTAATTCGATCAATAATATTTGAATTTTATTCACAATGTTTGAATTTTTCCAGCCACATTCATTTTGTAAAACCGAAACATCCGAATCTTATTCAAACATTATTTTTATTATTATTATTGTATTGGGGCACAGGAGTCGTGGATGCGCACTGCTGAGGAGTCCCATACTAGGACGAAACGGCCGTCCAGTGCTTCCAGGTTTCTAATGGTGGTCTAACAATGATGATTGATTGATGATTTCAAATATTATTATTGTAAGAAAATAAACTTGTTGCATATTTGGTATGCGTTTCGTTAATCCGCATATAAACCAAAGCAACAATAGCATAATCATAGTAAAATGATTGCGAATTAGTACTGTTGATGTGAAACACAGAAATTGCATGACCTGTAAAGTGTTTTTGCACTCTAGTGAAAATATGATACTATTTATTTGTTGTTCACATATTATATAAAATACAATAGCTTAAAGTAAAACTTCCTAATTATAAAGGTATCTGTACTTTTAAATTAAAATTGAATATTATTTTAAACTACTATTTTTTAGGAATCCATGAACTCATGGACTCATGGATTCAGTGTTAGTGAAAAGTACAATCTGTAATATGAATAATGTTCTATAGAGTAATGCATGTAAATGCCATTAGTTAGACATTTCTCTATTCATTTCTGTCGTAAACAATAATACATTTCGACTTGCCATCTGAAGCTCCATTTTTCAACCTAAACACTTTCACAAAATGCTTTAATATTCAGAAAAATTTAGTCAGCATTGATAGTGGAACGTAATGTGATATTCTGTTAATATGGATGCATAACACTAACTGATCTAAATCTCGTCACAGTGCTTAAAACTGCAAATTGTGACGGAAGTTTCTGTCATAATCGAATTAGGTCAAATGAGGAAATGTAAAATCAAACTTTATGAATTTTGTGAGCAATTTAAAAATTGTTGAAGCGAATATAGGCTTTGTATCTTAATATCTTTCGGAAATAGGAGATAACTATCTCTCTCTCCCTCCCTCTCTCTCTCTCTCTCTCTCTCTCTCTCTCTATATATATATATATATATATATATATATATATATATATATATATGTCAAGGTGGTTGGAAGTAGTTAGTACGAGACTCCAAACTGGGATTTCATCCTAGTTAAATTTCATCAGTACGGTAAACATGTAATCTGTAGTGGAGTAACTCTTTCATTCTGATTTAATTCGAGCTAATCAGTCCCATAGTTCTCTCGAGATTTTAAGCACACCTTTCAAGGGAATGATAGTAGCACGGAACCTACGTCCAGTGTTTTGCATCAATTACCTCTAACCATCTCATGTCTGGAAAAGAGCGTATGCTATGTTGCATCACATAAAATCGTGGCCAAATTGCCATATAATAAACAGAATTTGATCAACACTAATAAACTAGACAAACATGGTATTGGTCCAAATTCATTGATCAATGAGTTCTCAAATATTGTATAATCCCGTATTGAAATGAATTATCATCATTTTCAAAATATCAAGTGTGTTTACTATTGTATCTAATCCTAAAAACACATTTGTGAGGAAGTTAGATGAGTCAAGACAGTTGGTGATAACCCCTGGATCTAGGTTTCGCACTAAGTTGTCTTCTCCAAGATGTAATAACGCAATGGAGATTTATTGAAACAAATAGACACAGTACGACTAGATAAATCGATCTTAGTCAAAATCAAGGAATCTCTAACACTGATATCATCAGAATCGAAGACGATATGAACCCAGATATGCGTGAATCTAAAAGAAGGCAATCAACCGAAATCTTCGTATGCTGTGCTTTTGTTAATCCCTTCATCGCTAGAAATAATTTGTTCTCGATTATTGTTTTGAATAGTCATGTGCATTGTAAAGTAAACAAAACCACCTTATGAAAAGTAATTTCAGTTTGTACATCTATACTGCTTGATAAGTGCAACAAAATGATGTTTGTTTTAGTTATTCAATCATTAGCATTTCGAATTCATTAACCAAACAAACTAATAGGGTTGAAAATTAAAATGTGAAGCTAAGTGTTGATTGTGGATTGACATTAGTAATTAAACTATTCGACTTGGAACTAGTGGATCAGATGTTAAAACTTCTTTTACATAAGTTTAAGTAACCCATTTCTTATACAAGTATACAAGAATCTGAAACTGGTCAAAGATTTACAGTCATATTTTGAGGGAAGCGTCAAATATCGCCTCACTTTTGGAACATTCAATGGAATACAACTACTACAATCAAATTGGATGAGTGCTCATAATCATTAAATTAAAAGAAACTGTAATGTTCACTTGGACGATTAGTTAAGCAAGATTCTATATCTTATAAAGTCGATTGTGTGCAAAATCGGAAAAATATCATCCACTGAAACTACATAGTAACTACACTACAACACAAGTTGTTTAAAATTCAAACTACGAAACGTTGTTCTTGAATCTTGTCATGTCCAGTTCAATTCTGCATGAGATAGTCAAGATTCAAAGCTAAAGCGTTTCGAAATCGTTTGTAGTTTTTAAAATTTCACCTAACATCGATGGAAAATATCCTATTGTTTATCTAAACCTTAACAAATAAATAAATTTAAACCGTACCAGCCAAAAAAGGTGATTAAATGTTGTGAACGAATGGTTTCTTTAAGACTGCACTACTTACCCTTCTTAAGTAGTATAATGATAATAAGAATTGAAAAACTTACTGAGAACCATCTTTCGTTAAAGTAATAGAAAAGAAACTAAAAGACAAAAATTTATTAAAATTTATATGCATTACAATTAAAAATAAAGAGGAAATCACTGCAATCAGTTCTTTCATAATAATGGAGTTAAATAAATCTCAATCGTTGAAATAATTTCATCAACAAAAAAAGAACTCAAGGTGAATCTCTTCCATGTGTAATGTAAATTAAATGTTTAGCACCATGTGAAAGCTTCTTTTTTATGCATACTTCTGGTTCGTATAAATCTTTATTTTTATTCATACTGTCATCGTCATCATTGATAGAGATGATTTCCCTTTCTTTCCTTGCTGGTGGTGCTAAAGAGATACTTGATTGCCTCGGTGTAATAGTAGTTATCGGTTTCACTGGTTCACGCCATTCAGATGATGAAAATGAATTAGCTGATTTGTATCTGCGAAGGTTTCGAGAATCTGAAAAGTAATTATTTGACGAGGAAACGTTTCGGGCACCACTTGACTGAATGACCATAGACTGTTGCCTTTCCAAATCTAGATCATCAAGCGTTTGAGAAGACTTATCGTCTGTCGATGGACCTTTCGACAAAGGAACATATCTAACTATTTTTATTTGGCGATTATCTACTGGGTCTGGTGCTTGTCTATATGAATATGGAGAAGGTGATCGGTTAAACGACTGAAGAACTGGTCTATTTTCTACTGGATAGATATTAGCAGATCGTTGGTTATCTTGATACACAGTCCTGTTGGGTATAGACATCAACTTTTGACTTTCATTCCTTGAATTATCATTATCCGGAATTGATTCGATAAGTATATTCCATCTCTATTATAATTATCTGATCAATTAATATGATGAATGCTTACTTTGCTCATTTTGAACTAGAAATTCAACAATACCAACATTTATATTTCTGTTCTAAATTACATGTGTATCACTTATATATGGAGATTGAAACAAGTATTATAACAACAACAAAAATAATACTGAAACTCATTTAAAATTTAAAAAGACATGTGATGGTAGAATTTGAACTAAATTATTATTATTACTTTTAGGATGTACTATTAGTAAATATTTTTTTCCAATGGAATGTGGAATTATAAAATAAGAATTTTAATTAAATGAATATTCTGATATCATAGTCATTAGTCCAAATTATTATAGACAATTGAATGTAATAAATGACTAATTATTGTTTTGAATTAATATTGAAAAAAATGTCTTTCCCTTTGAAATAGTAAAGTTTATGCAACATGTTTCAGTAACAGGAATACTTTATTTATCTCAGTTACTTTATGTTTGCATACTTACTTACTTACTTTCGCCTGTTACCCCCAATGGAGCATAGGCCGCCCACCAGTTTTCTCCAAATAACTCTGTCCTGGGTTTCTCTTTCCAATTCTGTTCAATTTTCGTTCATTCTTCTCACGTCTTTCTCTATTTCTCGGCGTAATGTGTTCCTTGGCCTTCATCTTTTCCTTTTGCCTTGAGGGTTACAAGTGAGGGCTTGTCTCGTGACGCACTTAGGTGCTTTCCGCAATGTGTGTCCTATCCACTCCCACCGCTTATTCCTCATTTCCAACTCCACTGGAATCTGGTTTGTTCTCTCCCACAGTACGTTGTTGCTGATGGTGTCTGGCCAACGAATCCGAAGTATTTTGCGTAGAAAACTGTTCACAAATACTTGTATCTTCTGGATGATGGCTTTCGTAGTTCTCTAAGTTTCCGCTCCATACAGTAGAACTGTCTCGAAATTTGTATTGAAAATCCTTATTTTGGTTTTGGTTGGAAGTTGTCTGGAGTTTCAGCTATTTTTCAAATGTAGAAATGCAGCCTTTGCTTTGCCAATCCGCGCCTTCACATCTGCATCGGATCCACCTAGGTTGTCGATGATGTTGTCAAGATATGTAAAGGTGTTAACGTCCTCCAAGGCATCTCCATCAAGAGTGTTTATGATTGTCTAAGAACTATAAAAATTTTTGTATACTCAAGTGTCTATCTAAGTGAAACTTAAATTATATCAAAACTTGATATTTAAATGACGAAAACTATACTAACTTCAATAAATTTTCACAATAGTAACGATAGAGAGAATGGCATTCATTGATTGAGTCGTTTAATTTCATTTCATATTTATACTGATCAAATTCATTGTGAACACAAGTTTATGTAACTAAACTCTAATGTGTTAACTGTTAAAAGTTAGAAACATTTCCCTCAGGACTGAGCAAACAAACTTACTGATAAGTAACAATCAGTACTAGTTTTATCTATCGATAGATTAGAAATTATAATTTGGAATGAAACTGTGATTTACTAAAATTTTTAATTGATCCCTTGTAAATAAATATTCATCCTCTATTTGAAATATTTATAGAAGAAATTTATAAGTTATGTAGAATGAGTTAATTTAACTCATTTCATATACGATAATAGAAACAAAGAATCACTATAGAATATGTTGTTCGTTAAGTAATGACCGTTTGAATGAACGGCAAATGATAGTATTGATAACATATACTTGCAATATGTTCGCCGTAGGCAGGGAAAAATATTTTTTTAAAAAGTTGTACAGAGAATTTATAATAGCATTTGTCATCGATGTTTTATATATAGCCCAATAAATTATAAATGGGAATTTTAGGTTCATGAAAGATTTTTTCTGAAAACTACTGGTTGTTCTTGGCACTTTAATAACAATCAATTCGTTACGCTTTAACTGATGTCCACTCGATAAGTTAAATCATAATCACATCGACTGATCAAACAGTCACTTATTTTTATTATGATTTCCGATTATATGTATTAAAAATTCTGACTTCCATTGCAGTACACAACAACTAGCCTTTTTTAATGTAAATAATTTAAATCTCACTTTTCTTACGATTTCCAATGCAGTTTTGATCCGGCATCTCAGCTGACTAAATTAGAACACGTCAATCTTTCATCAGGATGAATTCAGCCTGTCATTAGATGACTTCGTGTCTTTTATTTTGATCTGTGTATACTTTTTTCTTCGTCTTGTCCAAAATTATCAACACAACTAAATTGTACAAATTCATATATCTTCTTCAAGAAACTCGTTGTAAAAATATGACTACATGTTTGAGAATACAAATACATAGAAAGATAACTTTATTCATTTTGCTTGCAATGCAAAAAAACTCAGTGAACTAAGTAGTAGTAGTTTTATGGCAGTTTCTTTTCAACTCTTCTACAGCCAGTAAAATGTCAAACTGATTAACCAGCAATAGTTAGCCTCCTTAACTGTCAGTTCTTCATAAAGTAAGTATATTGTCAATGATCAGATGAACACTGAAACTTAAATTATCCGTTTGGAAAAGTACTTAACGCTGTTTGTTACTGAACAAGTGGACTAATCAGTATTGTTTTATTTAAAAAACTCTTTACATTTAGATGTGTTTTTATTTGTTTCTTCTTCCTTACTAAATAATGCCAACTCTTATGTTTTGAATAATATCTACTAAGTTATTCACTTAACAGTGCCGAAATCTTTCAAAAGTTTCAACAACAAAAACGTTTCTTCAAACAAACTGAATGAAACTCAGTAATTATTGTCAATCTCAATAAGTTAGAGATTTGATTATTGATACAACCATAATGTAGACCATTTCTAAATCGTATTATTTTAAGTCATATATTCTATACTACTTATTAGTATAGTGATTGAATCACCTGAAATCTGCTTCAGTTGACTACGTCGTTTCAGATACTAACAGATTCGAACAAATTACATAAAGAAATAGAAAATAGGATTTCGTTATAAATTTTTTAAAAGTATTTTTGAAGGGCATGCCACAACTATTATATCTTTCTCGGAAAAAAAATAAGTTGAGGAAGTAGTACATCACTTGAACTTTTATAATATGAGTTGAAAATTTTTTGTAACAGATAAAAACTACTTGACCTTAAATTATGTATGGAAACCACTCAATTCAATAGCCTAAAAAAATTTTCCATGAAGTATGGATATCTCACGATACTTAATATATACTGAAGAATATTATTAACCCCTTTTTTAAAATTTACTTAATAGGACGCAAACCCTGAGTGTTGAATAAATGGTATAACTTAAAAAATTTATTATAAAAAAGTAAATAGATTTACTTTTAAATTTATAATGCTTAAGAAAATGATCTAGGCACGTATGCTTAAAGCAAATAGTTCCTTTTCTCTAATGAATAAAGTACAACTAGTTATCAACATGAAATAATGCTAAGCCAACTTTATAGCTGGCCAGTTTTAACCTGTATGATGACGTAATAACTTCTGAAATGGATATAAATATCGTACACATTTTTCTATATAATAGTTCCAACCTTATAACCATTGAACTATTGTGTAACTTTACTCATAACCTAAACTTTTGAGTAACTTAGGTATCTCCAGTAACAAACAACTTGACAACTTTATATTTTATTCTACATCAGTTTGTACAATATAAGGTGAAATGAGATATGACAACTTTAATAAATGATGTCATCGTACAGAAAAAAATTTCCATTGCTCGATTGTTGTCACTTTATTTCTCTTCCTGTTAGACTTTCAAATGTTATTTTATATTTAACTGCCTTTTAATTTAAATTTAGTTTCTTTAGTTTTACATAAAATGCATTGACAAGAATGTTTGATCAGATTATTTGGAATTTATTGAACCTATCGAATATTATAAATTGAATGTTCATTCTGGGTTTTTTTTTATTATAAACTTAAGATGTATAAAGGTGAAATTATGACAGAGCTTAATTGTTTGAAAGAGTATTTAAATTTACTCACTTCGAAATTTCGATACCTCATCGATTCATTGATTAAATTTTTTGTTAGTTACAACTAATAAATAAATATCGTATTTTCTTAATTTATACTGAAATGAACATTACAGTACTGAATTTTATAACTTACTACATAGATTTTTCACATTTGTTTATGATTTTTATATGAATTTATAATCTAGGTAATCTATACAGACTTATTTATTCATTAATTGTTTGACATTATACAAGCATTCTGTTCAAATTTACAATTGTATACTGGTCAATTATCAATTCTTTATTAAAATATTACTCTTCAAAACAAAAAGTTATCAAACTTAACACAAACTAAAATTTAAGGACATATATCTTTTTGATTCTCTTTCTTGTACTTGTATTTATATGTGTGTGTATGTGTATGCTTGTATGTTCAAAACTTCTAAGAAATACAAAAGCAATTTAAAACGAAGCTAATCAAATCAAGTGGTATTGTAGTCATAGCTTTATTATTTATTCTAAATTTTACTTAAATTGATCAATCAATGTTCAAGGATACGGACTTCAAACAAAACGTTTAATCATATTCATATGTTTAATCAAATGATTTAATATTGAGACCATTAAAAGTAATGATCTAGAACCGTATTGTTTAGTTAAAGTAAAGCCTATGGCGTTTCGATGACTTAGCTAGATTCTATATATAGTTCAAAACGTTTTATAACCGATTCATTTCAACAAACCATACTTATACTATTCGAATGAGAAGAAGAAATAAACACATATTCTATGCTATCAGCAAGTGGTTGTGGAGGCTGTTGAATTTCTTTGAATCATGAATCAGTGAGAGCTATTCCACCATTGGAAACTTGGAAGTACTGAACGGCTGTATCGTCTTAGTTTGGAACTCCCTAACAGTACGCCTCCACCCCAAACACGGAAATGGGATCTGGAACCTTCGGTTTTGCACACGAACGACTAACCTCG